TGGTATGATCTCCTCTCCTTGGGCTTTACTCTCGCGATAGATCTTGACCAATGATCGCTAAGCGTCCACTCTCCGAGGCTTAATATCCCCGTCCGATCGTGTAACATTCGGCAGTAGATCAATTAAAGCGTCGTCGCTGAGTCCGAAATCACAGTAGTATCACTACTGTGATTTCTACCCTTTTAAGCTTTCATGGAATTAAGATCGATAGTGACTCTATTATTATGCTTTCGGTTTTTAAGATATAAAAATTCTATGCCAACTTTTTCCGTTCCTTCTGTCGCGAAAAAGTTAATTTTTGATGCAGTACGTTCTTCAAACATTTTAAAGCGTAAATATAAAAAAGTAAATATATCTAAAAATGTTTCTAAATTTGTTTATTTGGACGTTCTACTTTAACTAATTACATCGACGTAATCTTTTGGACATCCTCATTAGGATCACAATCAATAAATATCTTCGGTTAGACGTTATGGCTATACTTTATTTCTCGTAAATGAGAAAAAAATGTTTGCGTTTGTGCATTATTCTTTCTTCACACGCACGAACGCATTGTCGGGAGTCAGGGCCGATAAATTAACGGGATTAATTATCCGACTATCGGATTACTCGCTGCGGAGAATACGGCCTACCCCTTGGTGATTTTCCTTCTACGGCTCATTACTTTCAATCGTTGGTCTTCAGGCGGTCGTTCTCTTCTCCTCTACTCGTAATTTTTAGTATAGCCGCGCGAGTGCAGGGAGGGGGTAGGATTAAAGAATAAGAAGGGGAGGCAGAGTTCGTTTATGTGACCTCATCAGCTACCCTCGACGAAAAGAGAAAGAAATAGTAAGAGAAAGAACACTGAGAAAGAAAGAGGGAGAAATGAGAGCAGAACAAGAAGATGGAAGCCGCGTCGCCGACCGTAGCATCCCTCAAGGATTATGAGGCCAATCCTGCGGCTAATTTGCGAGCTCTCGAATTCTCAAACCCCTCTCTCTATCTCTCGACTTCATCCAAACCGCTTTTTGGTCTCCCTTCTAACTATTTTACCGTTGTTTCTTTCGCTTAACTCAGAAAGGAAATCTTTTCTCTTGTCACATATTTAATGTCATTTCATTTCTTAATAAACATAGAATTTGTTCAGAGATTCTAGTTGTTTATGGTCTTAACATCTCAAAAGGTTTTTGAGTAATTTTACAGCTACATCTTTATAGATCTTATTCATATATCATTAATTTGTATTTACAAGCTGTTAATGTAATAAGTTTGTATATCTTTATCCTGTAGTGATTCATCTTCACAAACGCAAATTATGTATTATATATCTATCCGAGGAATGTATAAGCAATGAGTTACCACATACCTCACTGACATTTACGACATATGTTTTAGCAACTGTATATTTTTGTGTGTGTGTAGGAAAAGTTACGCTTAAGAGATACCACTTACATCCGCGACTGTGAATGAATAATTAATAGGAACGACGCGGTGACGTTCTTATACAGCCGGCACTCTCTATGTGCGTTTGTTACGATCCGATTCAGCGGCGGAGGGCATTTTCGGTTCTTATCAATCGCATCCAACAATCTAACCATCCTGGCCAACATTATCTACGGCGAAACGTCCGGCAGCCGCATGGAAATAGAATAGTTAGGCATATCCTAGCTGCGGCTGATAGCAGAACCGCGCGGCTCTCCCTCTCGCTGTCTCTCTCACTGTTTCTATCTTTCCCTTTTCCTCCTTCCTCTCTCTCTCTTTCTCTTTCTACCTATAACTTTCTCTCTCTCTCTCTCTCTCTCTTCCACAAGCTCTCTGTTATTATTCAGGAACTTTGCTGACAGCTCTCCGGATAGGCAGATAAGAACGTCCTCTGAATGCCAAAGCACACACAATGCTCCTTTGGAGCGACGTGTACCCACGTCTCGTGGATACTTTTCGTGTACACGATCGTATGGGAATGCAAAGGGCAATGTTTAGCTGGCGTTATATCGCGCCACATTCGCGATGGTCATAAACGATTCTAAATTCCCTTCGATCGTTCGCAATTTGTCGGCTGTCACCCATCTGCAGCTCGTTTGCTACCGCGTCAGGATTTATTCCGTTTTATCGCTTATTAAATTATAATGATTACTTATTGCATATTTTTGTATTACATTGCATCTTTCAAAAATACGATGAAAAACATTTTCGTGCAATTTTAAAATATTCTTTTATAATTTCAATTATTTTAGCGAAACTAATGGCACATAGAAAAACTTAAAACATAAGACTTAAAGCAGTAAGCGAATTGACCAATCATAGTAAAGACCGTAAGACCATAACGTAAGCGTTAGAGAATCCAACATGTTGATTTCTTTACTGCTTAAATCTTAGGTCTTAAGTTTTTCCATGTGATCTTTAAGCCTGTGGCACACAACCTGATACATGTTTTCTTGCTGGATTGCTTACGTTTTAGTAAATTACTAGAATTCTGCGTTCTATAATGTAGTTCAATTTTAGTAATTTATTAAAACGCAAGTAATTCAACAGGAAAAAAATATCACACTTCAAATTAATTACTATTACATATTGTTCTTATTAACAATAATTGTTGTTTTTCATTTTTCGGAAAAAATTTTGTTTAGATATATACATTAAAATATTAAAAAAATTTGTTAAAAATATTTTAATGGAACGCGCGACAGCAAATCAACATTATCAGATATGTTTCATAGCAAAAATTTTAATATACGTCGATGAAGGTAAAAGCTAATTTTAAAACTGGCCATTTTTCATAACGATTTAGTACGAATGGTGTGATCTAAATTGTCTGCGCGCGACGTGACAAATTAAAATCAGATAAAGGGATGATCCTCCGGGCTGCTGACTTTCAGATTTTCATAAGACGTCGCTTCCTCTTCTCTTCTTCAGAGTTGCCATTTCACTGCTTCCTCTTAGCTCTTCATACTCTTCGGCCCAGCAGCAATTTTCTTATCCGATCGACCAGTCTGCTCTTTTCTCGCTTTTTTCCGATTGAAGATTCTCAATGTTCATATGAATAAACGAAATTCCAGGAAACTGGTTGTTTTGCACGTCAAATTTGATATTTAATAAAATAAAATATTTGTAAGTTTAAAACAATTGAAAAAAAACTGCATATAAATATTTTACAAATATAACAGTAGAAATAATATTTTATACAAAACAGTATTAAACATACAAGGTGTCCCACGAGAAGGTGTTGAGACTAATCAGCTGTCATTTTCAAAGGTATTCAGTTATTGAAAAAACAAAAATTGTTGAAAAGAGGAAAGTCTGCAATTTTTAATGAGTATAAATAAAGTTTAACAAAATGGTTATGTATCAATTAATTTTATTGGTGAAAAATATACTAAAATCAAGTAAACGCTAAGTGCTCGTCACTTTTAATAGACCTATACTAACGATATAACGTCGATCCACTCACTTTCGATCGTGAGATTCATGAGTTGTGTTTTGCTCGATGACGTGGTAGAATCTGCACGACATTCGTGGGTACCGATGGCACTCGAAACAAGCTCCATAAATCCTTGTCTGCTTTGCCGTTGCTTTCCGAGTCGCGGCTCAGTTCGGAAGTTGGAGCCCGATAACGATAACGAGAGGGATAACGGTAGGTAGATACCTATATAGCGTGAGGATAAGAAGAGGCTGCTGCGGCAAAGTCTAGATTCGATGTTTTGCGAATGAACGTCGACCCGGATGGATCCTTGTAAGACGTTTTAATTGGACAAATCCGCCTATCCTCATTAAATCCGGGACCCCCCGGCGGGCCCACCAGGACAACAGGTCCTGTGCGCGTGTCGTAGATGACAACGATATCCCCTCGGCATCGTCTTTGCGCATTGCTACGTACTTAAACGCAAAAGTCTTCCATTTTGCTACATCAAAGTACGTCTCGAAAATCCGCGCTTTACTATAAGAATCTAATCCTGCTCAATAATCATTTACCCTATACGAGTCTATTAGCAGAATACTTATAATACAAGTATCCTAATAATGATTATCTGCTCATTGAAACGCGCTATCAACGAAAGCGGAAATTTAATGATACGAAATAAGTTTTCCTTCCGTAATGTAAAAAAGATATGTACCGTCAATGAAAATACGCACAACGAAAGAGATTGACTATCTTTGTATCCAGCGGATATTTTTTTACTACACGTCAATATATTGTGCTTCCGTTTCATCCGGTCTCTTTGTCATTCCCTGCCGCATCCGCAGTCTTACTGTCCCTGAAACTCTCGCGAACGACGCGAAACGCGAGTAGCGCCGTAGACAGATAGTACGCCGCTTTTAGAGAAAGACTCATTGACTATTGTGACGTTTGAGTTAGGGTTGACTCGATGACAGCTCGGCTGTCTTATCTTAGCTGCGAGATTTCGGTCGGGGCGGCTGCTTTGTGCATTCGTATACTTGGAGACAGTATCGTTGTGCGCACTTCTATTGCACACGCGTGTGAACACACCGTCCGTTTAGACATATATGTGTTACAAGCTCTATGAAACTCACGAAACACCATTTGACGATTTATTGTACTCGTCCGAGACGAACGGATGAATCGCTCTTATAAAACTCTTACCTCTCGGTTCATTCTTCTTCTCGTGAGACGACGAGCTGCAAAATTCATAGCAATTCTTTGAAAAAGAAGTTTGTTGTATGTTTCCGACTTTAAAGTAAAGACTATAAAATAGTAATAAAATGAAATATTTTAAAGTAATAAAATAAAATATTTCATTAATTCGATAAATGAACTCAATAATAAATTTGAAAATTAGAAAAAAATTATAATAAATTGATATAATATTCATAGGTTCGGAGATGATCCATATTTATTTTATTTTTCCGATATTACCTGTATATTGAAGTTATAATCAATACATAAATTAATCATAAATAGTAATTGTCTGGAAATACTATCATCATTTTTATATTAATACGTGCCAATTAATTTGTACTTGGCGCAGAGGGCAGATACTTAATAATATTATTTTGTCGTGACGTATACTTTTTATTTGACATCACCTCGTATTTACACTCATGAAAGTCCATAATAATTATATTAATTGTTACGTGATAATTACAATGAATGTGCGGCCGGTAAACGTTTAAAACCGCGTGTCAACGATAGTAAGGAGTAACAAGTCGGTTAACGATTCCTTTTACTTCCGTGCTGCGAAGGCCAAGGCCTCTCTTGCACTTCTCTAGTCAATGTTATTTAAGGAAATTAACTAGTCGGCGTGATATGGATGCTGTTGCGGCGACTCGCCCTCGAACAGAGCCATCTTCAGCCGCTTATTCTTGGCCCTGCGGTTCTTGAACCAGAATTGTACGTTCTTCGGCTCCAGACGTGGAAACTTCTGGCGATAGGGCATCTTGTTCAGTTCCTCCGTGTACGACAGAATGAGCTATGGACCGATCGTAAAATCGTTTTTTTCAACAAATTTCCCGTGAAAAGTGCAAGTTAAAAATTTCCCACAGTAACTTTTAAGCTTCAGCTACTTGGAGGCGCCGTATTAATTGTATGACATTAAAGACTAGAAATAACATACAATAAATTAATTGCTACGTGCAACTTTATTTTTTTTAGTTTTTTTCTTTAAAAACATAATAATTTCGTAATTCTGAAAACTGAAAGATGTATAATTATTTTTGGAATTCAAAAATTATTTTATTCTTCTATGTGACATATCGAACAGATTCAATTTCTTTTTGTCGCATTTTGCAGATTTCATATTTACGAACTTATTATATTTTTAAAGGAAAACAAAGAATAAAGCTGCACACAGTAATTAATTTATTGCATGTCATTTCTCGCCTTTGACATTAAACAAGCAATATGGTCTCGAAACAGACCAAGCTTTTAATGGAGTTATTTAAAAAAATTCTAATCAAGGAAGTTTAAATGTCAACTAATTATACATTCCTTACTAATTCATGAAGTTTACTACTAACACACATAAAACAGAATGTGTTTCCGTGCATAAATGTTTTGATGTATAAAACATTTGGAATAAATAAAATTTGATTTATGACTGATATATTTTGTTCAGAGTGTTATTAATCATATCTACGAATATGCTATTATAATCCATAGAAATTTCTCATAACATGCTAATATCGCCATCGAATGAAGGACAAATTAGTGCGATAACGACATATATATATATATATATATACGATCGATTTATACGTACCGCGTGGCTTGGATGAGTGCTCCGCTTGAACCAATACTCTAATCTCGGCACTTCCGTCACGGGATCGATGAACGTCCGGTTCCTCTTCCTTCTCTCGTCGGCCAACATGCTGGTGGGACAACCGGTTGGTCCGCGCGGCGGTAGATAATGCGACATGTACATTATACCGTGACCGAACATGGGGCTGGGTACCAAAGAAAATCCTGGTGGAATTGGACCCGTATGCCTGGTCTCGTCATCCTCGGAACCAGAGGAAACTCTCGCGTCCTCTTGCTTTACCGAGGATGGAGTGGATGTCGGAGGCTGCTGCTGATCCTCGGGTCTCGTAGTCAAGGATAGTGGACCGACGGGTGGACTACTCGGTGGACAGGGTGACCCCGATGTCGACTGAAAGCAGCGAAGAACCTTTTGGGTTTCAGGGTCTATCAAATATCACAAACATTAAGATCTTATGTAGAATTTTCCGAAAATCGTATTTTTTATTTTTTACTATTTGCCATTTGATGTTTCATTTGAAGAGATTTAAAGGAAAATTATTGAATATGATATTTAATCTTCGGTGCCTCCTAATATTAATTTAATATTACAATTTTCAATTCTTTCACAGGACAGTATGTACCTGATGCCTAGTGTCCTCCTCTTCGTCCGTGCAGTCCTCGCTGACGATACTGGCACCCCTCGGGCTAAGCCCAGGTGGACTGCAGCCATTCATGCTGGCTCTCTTCTGCGCTGCCCTGGCGTTCTTGAACCAGTACACGACATTATTCGCGTCCAACGGTTTCCTACCGCGGCGCGACTCTAGGGAGTTCAATTCTGCGACATAGTGCTGTATTTGTTCGCGTGACGGATGTTGATTCTCAGCAAACCAACGCTGGAGACGCGGCAACTCGAGCTCCGAGTCGAAACTGGTCCTCATCCTGGTCTTGTGCGAATACTGAAGAAGTGCCGGATGTGGCGGTCCGATTGGACCACCGCCGGGAGCGATCGTGCCACCGCTATCGGGCTGCGGACTTTGCGTGTGATGATGGTGATTGGAAGTTGGTGGTATCGGGTTCATACCGAGACCTATCTGTTGTTGCTGCAGCCACGTTTCGAAATTTCTCTTTGTCTCTTCCGACAGGTCATTGCCGCCTCGGCAGAGGGATAGCAGGGTCATCTGCAAGAAAAAACCGTGATCTTTTTTCAAAGACCTTACTATTGTATTAGCTGCTATTTAATGGCTTTTAATTGCAAATAATCTCTCTCTCAAGTCGTATCTTGTCACAGACGTAGTGATCTCTTCTGCATATATCCACTGATATATGGGACTTCCAGTTTTTAATGGCTGTTCCGAGTGATTTTCTTAGAAGAGGTGTCATGACAAAGTATTCTTAGTTTGCTATTGCCTTTTGAGAGGTCGATCAAATAAAATCTTATATATGTATATATACACATATGTTTTGGGTGGATTTAAACCCGGATCTTTAGCACAGAGATCATCCACACAACTCTCTATCACGATCGCTAATGTGAATAACAAATCTTGTAAAAAGTTAATCTTATAAAAAATTAATTAATAATTATAATTAATGTAATGACTGTTAAAACATTTTTGTTTTCTTACTTTCTGTATTACAGATAATATTAAAATTTTTTTTATTAAAAAGACTATTAGTCACGTAGTCGTAAGCGCAATGCAATACTTCGTATCATATTACATTGATTTTGAGATAAGTAAGGGATAAGATGAGTAAGAGATACCGAAATCGAAACCAAATTACCAAGACGAATTTATTACGTGAATTCAAATTCTTTCAATCGATTTCTCTTTGGCTGGTTGTTGACGCGGGCAGGCGTTACAAAGTGACGTCGTCATGGCATTAAGATGACAGATTACGGAAAATTTCGCTCAGAAAGCGGTACGCGCATCTTATCTGGCCGATGATTTATAAGAACAAATATATCTCCGAGCTGGAAGATCAGGCGCCACTTTAATAACGCGGTAATCCGTCGCGTATCCCTGGCACCTTGGTAGCGTCAGATACTACCAAGACGACAATTATCCGGCCGCCAGCGGCTTCTCGCTAGTCACCTCCTCGAATTCTCATCCGCCTCAGTTTTACGACACCGCACTTAATCACTCCAGGTAGGCAGGTGAGGCGCGAGTCTTGACAGGCGTTCTCAAGATTTCAGAAATCGTTCGGCAAACAGTGGTACGCCGTCGAAAGCGGGGCGGCCGGCTTATCTGACAACATTGTACTGCGATTCGAAAGCCTGATTTACACGTATTTATTATTTAAGAGTAATTACGCACAGCAATCGGCTGATCCATAGAACAGTAGTAAATCAATCGCGGGGACCCAGAGATCAAACAATCCACGAGATTGCAATAAGTTGGCGAAATTCGTGACGCGTATATCAAGAATTATCGTTATGACTTTCGCACATTATCTTCGAAAACATGACAATTATCAACGTTTTGGACGTCCATAATTTTGAGGTTTTGAAAGAAATTGATCAAGTAACCAGTTATCCTATCTCTTACTATTATATATAAAAATTGTCCATAGCTAATGTTTTTATTAAACTTTTATAAAGGTACACTACTATATTTATCGCAATTCTTATATAACTTTATCACGAATTTTATTTTGTTAAAGAAGTAAATGCTACAATCAACAAATCTTTATCAAAGCCAACGTAATCTTTCTTTTTACATAAATATATATGTACACGTATTTATAAAAATGTAAACCAGATTTTGGGATGTACGTAAAAGAATTTTGCAAAAATATATAGTAAATAAATCACAAATGCCGCTGCCACGCTATAAATACAGTTAAGCCCTAATCCTGATATATCAGGCCGACGTCTGTTAACATCACTGTTCTACATTTCAAACTAAATAGGATTCAAAACAGATTTTGTTGCTTTTTATTGTCTGAAATCGCGTTGACACTGATAATTTATGTTTGCCGATCCCAATTAATGCGAATTTCACGCCCGAGCCCCTTGAAAAGTATTTATTACCTTTCCAAAACTTTCCATTATCCTGAAAGAAATACGAGCGCCGAGTACTTTTCAAAAATCATGTGCTTAATGCTCTTCGTTTGTATGACTTGGCATGTTTAAAATTCTAATCACTCTGTAACGAAAGCAATTTTGATATATCCGAATGCCACAAATTGTGCACTTCATCTGAGATCACGGATACCAGAAATAACTGGTATCAATCTCATGATAAATATTGTTACATCAAGATAAAAGCAAATTAAATTTACGAAATGCAGAAAATAACAAAATTTTTTTATAGCTTTAAAAATGACATTTAAAATTTGAACTTTTATCTCTAATTTTACTTAAAATTTGATATTGAAAGAATTACCTAATAACGTAAAAACGTTTTCCAGATAATATTTCATTCAATTCTCTCTGTAGAGAAAAGAAACATCCCTTATATTTGCAAAAAATTCGTGACTAATGAAAAATTTCTGAACCTTCACTATGAAGAAATTTCTTCATAGTGATAAAACACAAGCGCGAGAGATAGAATAATTTAGAATTTTCTGAAAAAGATACCATTGTCGAGGAATATCATACGTAAAGGGAAGCGAAGAAGGGAGATGCTCGGCAGCACGTCTTCGTGCATCATCGTCAGATTAAGCCAAATCTATGCGAGAGACGTCGGTTCTCCATCACAGCGGTTCGCCATTAGCCGTCGGGCTACGAAACTCAAGCAGGAAACGTTTGCCAGGGAAAATTGGTAATCATAGACCATCGTGAGCGGCATTAAAGTTCGGGGATGGGCGGGTAGCGGGATCTTCAAAGAGAGTGCACTTAGATAATGCTGGCTCGGAGGAGGCAGGGTACTTCTCCTCTTTCCCCCGATACCGATATCGAGGGGCTTTTGATGAAGGCTGCGAATTTGGTTGAGTAAAGGGTAATCCTATCACACGCTACGAGATCTTCCGCTGTCGGAAGGGCACGTTTACGAGTGTGCCCGAAAAATCGCGCGTCTATTTCAATCTTCAGGGAACGAAGTCTTCAGGGAGAGAATCGCACGACCGGGATAAACTTCTCGAGAAGTCATTGCGAAAAGAAATTTCACAGTTAGCTGGAATAGTCGGGATTACTTTAATCAGTTTTGTCGCTGGAGATTGATAAAGATTGAGTGAACGCCACTAGTTCGCGCAGCGTTAATACAATTTGTAGAATCATTTATGCAAAATTGTCAATCAGTGAAATATTGACATTGTGATAAAATTCTTACAAGTTAATTGCCGTTGTCTGCTTCATTAAGATCTTGATTAAGATGTAACTTCAGAAAAATCTGTTTTTGCTACTTTAAGAAAGAGGCAAATAAAAATCAACTAAAAATTTATGTGATAAAATAATGAACATTACAAAGTAAAATATTCCAGAGTAAAATGAATATTCCAGAGTAAGATGAATATCGGGATTCGAGAAAACTTTATTATTCGAACATTTCGATTCGCGCGGGAATGAAAGCCAAAGCCGACCAAAAGCGCGGTGACTTTTCGACTAGTGATTCGAAACCAAGAAAGCATTTATTCAAGGTGAGGATCAGCGAGCCGCGAGCAAGAATTTACCGAAGATTACTACTTGCCGTTCTTACGAGAGGTACAAGAGTACCGAGCCGGAGGACTTCTTAATGAGATTAAGTGCCCCGACGACAAACACTCTTTGGCTAGATTTACATTTTATACATTTTTAAGCGGTTGCCTTACTACTATATTCCTTGCTCCGATCTCGCCTTGAATGGTCCTTAAATTCTCTTGGTACACCGCGCCATTATTTAACCTCGTTCTTTAAATAAAAACGTACCTTACAGATATATATATTTTTCTTCTTTTTATGATTTTTTTTTTCGTACTTTTATTTTTCCTATAGCACCGACATATACAAAAATAAAGAAGGCGTAATACATCAGATGCGAAGAATAGAAAAGAACGATTTTATTGAAGGATCTAAAATTTTGCTGGATACAAAACAAAAAAAAAAGAATTTAAAAATAATTTTGGACTATCAAAATAATTATGTTGAAAATTAAAATAATGATAAGCAGTGGCAAAAATTTTGATATTCTAACAACCAGTTTAAAATTCCAACAAAATTATTTTAATGGTCCAACTAAATTACTTCAGATCTGTATCCAGCAAAATTTTAGATCTTTCAACAAAATTCTTTCCGTGTGTTTACCAATATTCAGAATAAACTTATAGGTTTTGTTTAAATATAGGTATGTCTCGCTACTATATCCATTATAAACATTTTACACACACGCGCACAGGCGTAAAAACACACACACACACACACACATACGTTATATAAAAAGAAAATGCTTATTAAATTAAATATTGTACAATACCACGAGCATTTCTTTTTCCAAATATTAGTTAAAAAATGTAAATTTCGACACCTAAAAGCTCGAGATACCTTACCTCATCCAAAGGGCACCCGGCGGAAACGAGAAGCGTGTGGCTGTGCAACAAAAGCAACCTCAGCAATTTATTTCTAACTTCAGCTGCCGGACTGGGAGGTGGCGGCCTGGACCTGTACACCTGAATCTTCAGGGTCGCCACCGACGTCAATTCGGCCAAAATATCTCCTACTGTCAGTAGTGGTCCATCGGCAACTTTCTCCATCGGCAAAGGCTTCCAGTTACGTATAACGATGCTCCCTCTAGCACTTGGTATCAGATCGCTGGAGTATCCCAGACGAACAAGTGCTTCGCCCACCAAATCCTATCAGCAAAAGAACAAAGCTGCTATCAAGATATCTTGATTGATGCACTATATTTGTACAAATCAAAAAGTTTTAAGAAAGAAGAGAATTTCTTTGATATATATCCAGATACTTATAACAATTTTAGTCAAAGAAATTCTCTTCTTTCTTAAAACTTTTTGATTTGTACAAATATAGTGCATCACGTTCTCAGAGAAGGCTTTAATCTTTTTTCTTTTAAAAATTTATTTTGACATTTGTTATTTTATTTAAATAATAAATTTCTCATCGCCACCACGAAAATTTAATTTTTTAACATAGCAAATTATACTCTAAGTTTTTTAATTTTTTAACTACAACTATTTATGTTATATCAATAGATAATAAAATATAATAAAAGAAAATTATTCTTACCTGAAAGGGCATAGCTATCGGAATAATAACGTAAGAGTCCGTCTCCACTTGGGGACTTCGCCATTTTTCACGGCTGTTGCTCACATGGCTTTCCACAATATTGTGAATCGTCTCCACCACACAATGCACCGGTAGATTTTTCGCTGCGACAGACAAAAGCGTTTGCATGAAGTAACGTACTCGACAATCCGTTCTCATTATGAGTAACAATAGAGTAACGAATTTACTATGGGTAACAAATTAGCTAACAATTGCGTCATTTTACGACTTGTGACTTAATTGTATGTAACGGATAAAAGCTTTCATTAAAAATTCATAAAAAATTCCATAGTCGTCTTTGAAATTTCAATTAACAACTTGTAAGTACAAGATACATAATTTTTCATATAATTACATCGGTCTTTAATTAAGAAAATCTTTAATTTCTAACACGTGCTTTATTTTTTTATCAATTTCGATTACAAGTTTCTTTCACGAATTTCTATTCTTTTTTTTCTAACTGCTTGATCTTTAACCACGTATAAATTATTGACGATTTCTCGAAAACTTGTAGCAAATCTGATTAATTTAATTCGAAAGCCAAAGAGAGCGAGAGAGATATTTCCACGAAGGTTTCGTGAGTCCACGAGTGCCTCAAATCATCTCGTAGCTTCAGTTGAAGCATTAGTTTCTGTACATCCGGCTGACAATAGGTATAGTCTTCGGCGTTTCGGCATCCAAATTCGAGGGGTAGGATGATTCGCGGAGCGCGCATTGAAGATCGCCGAGAGAAGACTGAGAGAGAAAGAGAGATTACGTGAAGCGCAAAAGGAAGAGAGAGAAGTTTAACTCCGGCGCTAAGCATATGCAGATCCACTCGTCTATCCCGAGACAATGGGACCTGTGCGATGGCACAATAGCTGCGATCCTTGTGTAACCCTGACTTAAGTCCGGGAGTCTATCCCACTCCAGGTCATAATCCCAGACTTCTGCGAAACCGAGGAAATGGAGTGCGAGAAGGAAGGGAAAGGGATGGTAAAAGAAAGACTGTAGTGGAGGGAAGGAAGAGGGGAAAGTTCCGCCCGCACAATTCCACTGGTTGTACGGTGCCTGTATTTATCTGTTAAAGGGAATCACCAAATTCTCGATGAGATTATTGAACTTGCTGTTTACCAATATACTCGTATATATCCCGCATTGTTCGGAATGCAGAAGTATATTTTTGTTACGATATCAATAGACCAGTTAACGTCAAGTGTGTCAACATAAAATGTGCATCTGTAATAAAGGTATTGAAAAAATGACACAATGGCTGAAGAAATACGAATTTAACTACTACAAATGCTTTAACAGAGTGTATTTTAAAACTTTAACAGAAATTTAGTTTAAAATTAGAAATAAGAAAAAATAAACGGCAATGAAAGTCAAGCGCAGTAATTGGAGTGCAAATTAATTGTTCATTATGTTTTTTTTTAATTTATTCTAGAGAATCTAAACGTTTTGATTTCATTTCAAGCCATTAGTAGTGAGCAAATTTAATAAATTATACATGATAAGCGTGATTATTTTCTCAAGCTCCAAATTGAAATGTAGTAAGTGTATTTCAGTATTTCTCACATTGGTTGCAAGACCAAGTGGGTTTTTTAATCCAAAAAGAATCGAGATTACAATTAAAAGCTATGAGTAATCACATTGACTAAATAAATTATGATAAAGTATTCAAAGTGCTAAAGTTTCAAGTTTTATTGCGGTAAAAAGCAATAATTTCATTTTCGTTTGGAAAAAGTTCAACTTGAAATTCATAGAAGAGACTATAATAGTGTAATATTTCTATAATAGAATAATAGATTAAATTTTTCCTACAGATTTATTTGTAAGAGTAAACTGATATTGAAATTACACTTCTTACGAACGTGATAAGCTAATCAAAGTGCAATATGGATTGTATACCCGAATTGATAGATAGGTCGAATGTCTCTTGATGCAAGGCGTTAAGTCCCCGTCAAAGATGACCAACAAAGGATTTACTGCCGGCGGCATGATATTAGGTATTAATGGCCGAAACTTCCATCTAATACGCCGGACATCATAGAACCCATTCCCTACGTTGCATAAGACAGGTCGTATCTGGCGGGTCCGAAGGCTGACCAACGTCCACCTTAATCTAGGGACGTATAGTTTTCATTAAGGCGCCCCCCGTCCTTGCGTCGTCTTTGTACCGGGATCAGCTGGTTTAAGGTGGGCTTTTACGCCGCAGGATTTAATCGCAGAGACATCGTATTATTCGCTCTGTTTATTACCGACGCGTTGTCTTGACACAACTCTGCGATACACTCGTTGTATTACAAAACTGTCCGTTCAAGATTTATTATACAGTTTAAGACCGTTCTTTCATAAATTGAAGTATGTACTAACTGGGAGGATTAATTAAGCTTCCATTTTTAATTAGGAATAAAATCGAGAGACTGATTATATAAATGTGTTATAATTTCTATATAATATATTAATAATAATCAAATAAAATTCAAAGTGCATTTCTTAATTGTTTTATTAATTTTTGTACTTGCAATAAAACACGTTAAAAATTTATCATAAGGAATGCGAAAAAAGAAATGGAAGAGGTGGCAACTACTCATCCGTGAAATCTTTAATCTCTGCAACCGCAAAGACATTTCTCATTTCTGGTGCAGAACCTATCGGGCTTCCGGTTATCTTCCCGCACGACGGAAGCGTCATGCCGTTTCGTCTTTGACAGCTCTCGTCGAAAGATAAGATTCATCCGAAGGGCAACCCTTGAAGAAGTGAAACCAGTTTCTCTCGATGGCTCTTTTTCATCATGACGGCTTCGTCTTGCGTTTCGCGTTAGCGATTTCTCGTATTGTTAAGTCTTGCCGCAGTAACGTCTATTTATCACTAACTTGATATACCTATGCTATTCTCTTTTATGATGGAATGTATTCAAAATTACAAAATATCAATATTTGGAAATATCTAATTGTAAAATAATAGAATCCATTAGAGTTAAGCATACAACAAATTAAAATAATTAAATTAAACAGTAAGAGAAATTATAGATATGTAACGATTATTAACATTCTTCAGCACATATATTAAAAAATATATTTAAGAAATATTATACTGAAAAAAAAAATAGTTTACAAAATTAAAGAATAAAGCTTCCTAACATTTTGTTTTTTTCTTTTCGAAATCCGCTTTCGTGGCCAAACGCATCGGACTCGTAGAGTGATTATGGGAGTCACAACTTTGCAAATTAACAGAACGCTTAGTTCTGCACCGAGGCGGTGGTGCAGATACAAGATAAAAAGTTGGAACATATTTTTCAGCACCCTGCTATCGCACACTCCGCACCGCCGCGATAATGGCCGCGTTCGGCACGGAAAACGCGATTTGAAGGGGGTGCGGCCAAAGAATCATCGCCGAATATTTCTTTCCGCGTCTCTTCACGACCCTCGTTTTCTGCGCGCGAGATGATTACCAGTGCGTTCCGAGATTACCGAGGATCTTTCTAAATCACTGACGGGAAAAGTACACGCCATTTAGATTCATCGACAGTGACGTTTCCGCTGCTATATCGGTGTGTTCGGATACGATTAAGCAGAGCGACGAAGGAGAGGGAGAACAAAATGAATTTAATTTCTCGGAGACTTAAAATGGGGGAACAGAATTAAAATTTTTTATTTAGATATTTAACACTTAAATTAAATTTAAGTGTTTAAATTAGGAGAAAGAAAAGTCATAATCCGTTCAAATTTTCAATTATAACATACTCTCGTGAGTTGTGAAATGAGTAAATTAAAAAAATCTATAAGTATAATTTACTAAAGTTATGTAATTAAAGACATCATAAAAATTTGTAAATATTTCTAAGTTACAGTTACATTTCTATATACATATATCAGCTACTTTAATAAATAGAGTTGCACTCGTGCTTATCAAGATAAAAGATATAAGTTCTTAAAGAGAGAGGTTATAAGAAAATTATCGCTTGTCTGACATCTTCATCTGAAATACCACGACTGAATGAGCGCAAACTCAGTGCATCCAGGGACCGTTAGTCTTAAGGTTTCTTCTGCGTCTTGATGACTCGGTAATCCAAGAAGACTCGACTTAATCTCTCGAAATCGAATCAGGTTACGAAGCCACGTTTAAATCGTTCGAATAATACTATTCTTCTGGGCTGACCTGCGTCTGTTCATTTCGGCCGATCAGTATCCACGGTCGAAAAACTCAATTTGCAGTTTGCACGTCCAAAGAAATGAATTGTGCCACCGGGATATCTAAGCCCAGCTGTGCGGAATGCGGCGGAATTCGCAATCCCTGGAAGTCGGCTGCTTCCGTCCTCGGAACTTAGCCTAAGCGTGTGCACCAGAAGGAAAGTGTGGGTGGTTTCGGTATCTGGGGCTGATCCGGCGGATGTCGGTCTTTACAGATAAGCGACCGGCTCTTTCGAAGTCTTTATCTGCGGCACCCGTTCTCTTTTTTTCCCCTCCTCTTCCAAATCGTTTTTATTATTTTTCTCTCGCTAACGAGTTGTTCGGTCCATTCCAGTCATCCAAGTTCTCGGATTAATGTTCGCTGAAATTTTATTATCGCGTCTGTCCCATGTAACATTACGTTTAATTGATTAATTTTATCGATTGATTTTTATTCATCATGTATTTATGATCAATCGATCGAAAATATACTGGACACCGATAGTAGTGTGTCTGGAAAATACAATATTCGAATAAATGAATAAAAAATGATTGAAAATACATTCGGATACATTTCTTTTTTATTCGTCAAGAAAATAATAATTACTTTTTCATTCCACATTTGAATAAATATTTTTTGAATATGATTACGAATATTTTCGTTTCGTATTCATAAGCCTACAAGAGAAAACAGAAATTTATAAAAACAATGCGGCTACAATTACACCGTGCTCTTAGTCCGCAATCTATATGATAGGCGTTCTTGTTTAATATATATATATATATATATATAAGTTAAACAAAGACATTTTTATTGGGAATAAATAATATATCTCGGAATTTAATGTCCTGAGACCATAATGAACGACGCGCCCACGATGTCTTATAAAGAATTTCTAACATTATCGTGATATAACCGGAATTATATCGGAATATGTATGGCGCTCTAT